GCCTGGCCCTGTGCATAGTAACATCTTAGTAAATGTTTACTGAGTTGTTGAGTGGAAAAGAACAGGCCTAAATCTGACAGAGAAGTAAAGGAAGTCCAACCATGGGCATGGGAAAGAGTGGAGCAACATGAAGCTTTGTATAAGGTATATACCTAAAAAGAACAGTGGTTCTGGTTCTGTCTGAAGGAAAGGGTTCCCTGAAAAGGGAAACACTAAGGGTTAAAAAGTCAGGGCTGTGAAGAAAGAAGAGAAATCTATTAAAGAAAAACAGAGGAAAGAATGGGGGAGCCCTGAGAGGGATCACCTAATACACATTCGAACATGAAAGCTTTCCTTATGTATTCCTTGCTTTGCATCTTGCTTCTATTACATGCTAAGTCCCACCATCTTGACAGATGAACTCATCTTCATTACAGAAGGAAGAATTTAACTTCCTGATGAAATACAACTGTTCTCTGAGAACGTTTGTAAAGGTAATGCCTCTGTAGCTTTCCCTACAGCAATAGCCTTAAAAGGTGGCTGTAAGCATTGCAATATCTCTGCAGTCCTTCCTTCTTTGTTCGGTGATACCCCAGACAGCAATAAATGAGCATTAGGGACCCTATAAGCGAGTCATGATCACAGCTGGCATATGATTCTTTTTTTCTGGTTAGATTCTTTTTCTTTCAGACTGCAAGAGCTCAAATAACATCTGCCACAGCTGTTCTTGTCACCTCTGTTTCTTGGGTTCTACTAGCAATAGCCGCCATTTACAGAGTGCTAAATAGTTTATCATCTGGTTTATCCTCTGCAAAAGCCTTGTAAAGCTACAACTGGAGAAAGACCTGATTAGCATTCTGTTTGGACCTCAGTTCATGAGGCTAGCAATTGTAATGGAAATGCAGGAGTGTCTCTCAAAAGCCCGCTCTCCACTGCTGTACGAAACACCTCATAGCAATCGCTCCTGTGAAGGTTCGGGATGCTGTGTGGCACATTTTACAGGCATGCTTACTTGCCATGGTGAGAGCAAACCATCTGTCTTCTGCAAGTTGTATTAAAAATCCAATGCTCCCCCCCTACCGCCCCAAGAATTAACTGCTTTGGAATCTTGTGTCAATGTGGGTGGTGCAAACTAGATTCTTTAAGTTATTTATTCATCTAGGATCAGGCATAAAAGACCTGTGATGGAGGTAGTGACATATGCAAAGATACCTAGCTAGTTTGATCCTAACAGAACTGGCTGCTCGTTGGGTGTTAGCCTATGACAGTTATGTCCTTAAAGGTCCTCAATCCTTGCCTTCTTGAGACAGATTTGCAACGACCGTCTCATTAAAACAGAGTGTGAAGACTAGAGTTCATGCCCTAACCATATAGGAGGTTCTTTTTCAAAGCAATCTCTAAGAATAATTATTCAAACCATTCTGGGGTTGGGGGCAATGGCTCAGTCATTAAAACGCCCACAGTGCAAATCTGAATTTGGATCTCTAGAGCCTATGAGTTGTTATTTATTTATTTATTTATTTATTTATCTATTTATTTATCTATCTATTTATTTATTGCCAGGGAGGCAGAGCCATGGTGGTCAGCTCCTGAGGAATGACACTGGCAGATGACCTCTGGCTTCCAAATGCACACGTGAACACACACCTGAACAAACATGTAAATATGTGCATGCACATAGACTTGCTGTCACATGAACACCACCCCTCCCTCCCCCCCCACACACAATAAAATCACTTAGCTTTAGCTATAGAGTAAACTTGCTTTCGATGGGGAGCTAGACCCTATAGAACCCAGACAGCAGCACCTGGTGGGGTGGGAAGTTTAACACCTACTTCAAACTGATTTTTGGACACCCTCAGTTTGGAAACTATGGTATTACCAAGCTGTACTGCCACAAACTACTGCTCCTTAAATGAGTTTAGCTCTAGTCTTGAAATGTCTTAGCATCAAAAATTTGTAGAGGATCAAGTATTTTAGAGACACTTTGTGTTGTCAGAAAGAGTGGATTTGAAGAAGTTCTTGGTGATGAAGGTTGATAGTATTACCAGGAAAAAAAAGTCAAAATCAACCAAACAAATATATCAGACTGAGCTACGGATATCAGGTGGTGGTCTGTCTATATTCAGTCTCTAAGGTCATTGCATGGAGTTTCAAGTTCTCTCAGGAAAATTCAGTTTTTAGAGTTGCATGAAATCTTAGTTAGAAACTCTGAACCACTTACAATCTCTTTGGTAATTTTAGAGATAAACCCTAGGGTCAGAATTAATACCTCATGGTAAAAGTTATCCTTTTAACAAAACCTTCAAATACTCAGCTATTATTTAGAACTTATTTTAACTAGGCAAAGTCTAGGTTCCCTCTGCCACTTTTTGATTTCCAGTTGTCACTGTCACTTTAAAACTTCCGGCTCTTGCATTTCCAACCTGAAAATTCACAGCTATTTTTGCCTTGGTTATGCAAGCCATGTTGTGCCCCCTGGTGGCAATCTGGATAGGAAGATGAGAAGCATATTTCAATCAGGGAGAGCATGCCGACTTAATTGAAAAAGGTGGCAGGCCTGAATTTGAAATGGAATTTCATATCAAACTTTTCGGTTCTTACTAAAAATAGGAAACATCCCGAGAAACTCAAATCCGATGTATTAACTCCAGCCTGCGAGGTGCATATTTCAACTCCCCTGGCTTTGTCACAAAATGGATTAGCTTCTTGAAATATGTCAGTTCAATGTGAAATTAAATATTTGCTCCATCCAGCTAAGGAGCTGAGCTCACAGAGGAGGGCTGCGGTCTGGCAGCACAGCCTTCCTTTCCTCTGCCATCGGGACAGCACGTGCCACAGACACATGATGGCACCTGCTTCTGCAGGGTATGCAATTCCCTGTATTACAAAACCATTTGGGCACCAACAATGTCATTTTCAAGACGGCTCCAGGAAAATCTCTAAATTTTAGAATTTATTCTTCAATCGGAAGAGCCAAATGGATTTGAGTAGATTATGCTGAGGGCCTCTGATTAAATTTTAACTATTTGGAGGCACAAAGAAATGATTAAAGATAGTCACCAGGAAATGCATTTGGTAGGAGGAAATGTCAAGAGTGTTGCCTGCTAAACTGATAAGCCCACTTCTGTGGCTGTATTATTTAGCTACACACACACACACACACACACACACACACACACACGAAAAAAGAAAATAGATTCTTCCTTAAATACTCAAGTAATGAACATGTATAAAAAACAGTATGTCCATCCCATGTGCAGTCACCAAAAGTAGATGCTGATGTGGAAGTCAGGAAGTGCATGCTGATAAGAGCCTGATATGGATGTCTCCTCAGAGGTCTTCAAGAGTCTGACATATTCAGAGGCAGATGCTCACAACTAGCCATTGAACTGATAATGGGGTTCCCAATGGAGGAGTCAGAGTGAAGGCCATTGGAGCTGAAAGGGTTTGTGGCCCCATGAGGAGAGCAACAATACCAACCAACCACAGCTCCCAGGGTCTAAACCACCAGCCTGGGAGCACTTAGGGAGGGATCCAGGGCTTCAGCTGAATATGTAAGAGTGGAGGGCCCTGCTGGGCATAGGTGGAAGAAGAGAACCTTGACCTCATGAAGGCTGGACGCCCCAGGGGGTGGGAATTTTGAGGGTGGGGAGGTGGGAGTGGGGGGGGTAGGCAGGGGTTACATCCACAAAGAAGGAGGAGGGGTGAGGGGATAGGGGGTTCCTGGGTGGGTGGGGGATGAAATAAGGAGACAACATACGAAATGTAAATAAAACATCCAATAAAAAAATTAAAAAATAAAATAAAAATCAAAAAACAAAACAAAACAAAAAAACAGTATGATGCTAAATTTGGAACGCTAAAACAGAAGTCCCAGGCCTCCAGAACAGTGTGTAGCCATGTTGAAAATGTGTGTAAGAAACTACATAAAACAATACAAATGATAGCAAAAATTGAAAAATTCCAAGTTACAAAGATCAAAGTGAGCAAGTCAGATTGCTCTGGGAGTAGAGGTGCTTGTCACCAAGCCTGATGACCTGAGTTCGTTTCCTTGGTCTCCCCAGGTGAGAGGAAGGAATCGACTGCAGAAAGTTGTCCTCTGTCCTTCACATGTGCACTGTGGCACATGCATGAACCCTTCCACTCACATACAAGTGAATAAATGTTATTAAAATTTTAGGGGCTCAGTGAGAAGAGAAGAAGGCTCAGTGGATGAGAGACCTTACAGTTCTTACAGAAGACCTGAATTTAGTTTCTGGCAGCCACACTGGCAGCTCACAACCACCTGTAACTCCAGTTCCAGGGTATTGGGCACCCCGATCTCTGCAGGACTTACATGCACATATCCATATATGTCTCTTGTCCCCAACTAGGTTCATAAGAACAGACCACTGGAATGACAGGTGTGCAGCTGAATACTCCAAGTGTGAACACTGAGAGCTGGCAGTTTCCAATGGTGGGTGCTAGCTAGCAAGGGCCACTGTGTTTCTTTCAAAAGCCACAGTCCTTGGTTCCTGAGACTTCTCTATGACATTCTGTCAGGACAGTTTGAGAAGCCAAGATATACTGCAGAAGGCCACAGTGTGGCTAAGCACCCTTGTGCTCCTGTAACAAAGCCCTCAAGATAAGAAAGTCGTAAAGAAGGAAGAGCTGTTTTGGTTCACTTTGAATTTTCTGTCCACAACCATCTTATTTCTACCTAAAACATGCCAGTTGCATCAATGAAGAAATGAAACCCTACAAACTTACTCTTTCAAATTATTATATATTAGAAAGTGTGGCATATCAGGACTATTCCAATTTTGGTGGCAGCTCAAATTTTTGCTATGTAAGTCTTCAGAGATCATCATAATTCTCCACCGACACAACAGCAATCAGATATCTAGGGAAGGCTGAATGAGTAACAATCAAATGAGCACACAATCAAGATGAGTAGGGCACAATCACGCTCAAGGATGTGGCAATCCAACGTCAACAAAGAAACAACATCCAGGATAACAGTAGTAAAACCCACAGACTTTAGTTAACTATTTGTTTATTCCAACCTGTACATACAAAAAGAGACAGAGTGGAAACATAGAAGCTGTACACATTATTTAATTGAAGCAGAAGCCTATATAACACATGGCATTCTGGAGTCTGGGAAAGCAAGTCAGTGTAGCCCGCAAGGCCCTGAGTTGTAACCCCATTGCCAAGAAAAAAAACACAGGAAGCACACCATCATATATAGGGACACCAAAGACAAACAGGAACCCATGGTACCCACGTTAGTTAGCTGATACTGCTGGTACTTCTATTAGCTTCAGTATAACAATGCAAACAGAAACTGAGAGGCAGCAGGCCGTTTACAGGAAGGCTGGCTGTTCATCAGGGCGGCATTCTGAACATCCTCTTCTTCAGCTCGGCAGTCTTCTCTTCTATTTTAGCGCAGCACTCCTCTGTTGCCTTCTCAATGCCCTCATGGTACTTCTCCAGAGCACTTTTCAAGTTTACAAAGATTTCCTAAGGACAAATGATGAAGGGTCACTCTGTGTCAGCCAGGCCTACCCCAAGTTGAAAATATTCCAATTGGCCATTCATATTAGTTCTACTACAAGGCTGGAAGAGTTTTAAGATCCTTTCTACACAGGACCAAAGACTACAGCTGAGATAAACTATGAACCACCAAGAAAACAAAAGGTTCTGAAAGCTTTATTTCTTAAATCTTGTAAGAATAATCAGGCGTATCAGTGACTGGCTTGTGTGAATGCTATTTTAAGCAATCAGCATGTTTAAAGGCTATAGATCAATTTAAGCTCCTGGTTCTACTAGGCTATGTGCTTATTCCCACAAACAGGAAAGCTGAATAAGTCAGGCAGAAAGAGATCACTTTTGAGAAACCATCAAAACCAAGTGTGGCTAGAAAAGGAAATATAATCTGCAAATACACACCAAGAGTTTCAGTACACCAAAGCAATGCTTTTCTCCTGAGAATAAACACACTTCCAAGGAGGAACGAGTCACACAGACAGAGGCACAATCAATGGAATAGGAAGCCCAGATAGCAGCAAACGACCAGAACAAACGTATGGCCATCGCCCTGAGCACACTCTTGGGTGTTAAAGAAGATGGGTTATAGCCTTCTCAAGACTATATATTTTAGAATATCCATGTAAATGTCTACACACAAGTGGAAGTTTATAAGAGTTCATGAGAGCTACCATATGTAAAGTCTTACTGTGAAGTCATATCCTTCTAAAGTCAAAGCAGACAGCTGGGATGGAAAGAAAACCCAGGCCTAGCCCGGTGCTGTTCACTATAGAAGTGCTAGCCATATGGAGCATTTAAAAGTACAAGAATTGAAAATTATATTCCTAATGCCATCAGCCCTTCTGGTGCATTAGACATGTCAAGGGCTCAGGGCATAGTGCCTACCTAGCCAGAAGCTTCAGAATAGAAAGACATAACACAGGAGTCAGCAATGTTTCATGTGAGTATTGGTCTGATGATCTCATATTTGAAATTTGAGAGATTTAAAATTTTACAATATCCATGGACTTTTACACCCAACATCATCCATTGATTCCAGAAATATTTTTCCAGAAGTATTTTAATCCATAGATCAAAAATATATTGCTGGAAGCCAGCCCATGGTGGCATACACCTTTAACCCCAGATCTGAATCTCTGTGAATTGGAGGCCAGCCTGGTCTACAGAGTGAGTTAAAGGACAGCTAGGGCTACACAGAGAAACCACTCAAATACACTGTGGTATTTCGCCTTCCATTCTGGTATCACTTGTGTTCTATTACCCTACCAGTCCTCTCCCTTAAAGTGTCCTCTTTCCCTCACTCAGACTCTGTTTAGTTCCTGCTGTTCTATTACCCTACCAGTCCTCTCCCTTAAAGTGTCCTCTTTCCCTCACCCAGACTCTGTTTAGTTCCTGCTGTCCACACACGCTCACTCCACGTAAGTACATACATATCACACTTAGAACGTGGTTTTTGTCTTTCTGGGCCTGGGTCACCTAACTCAATATAGTATTTTCTACTAACATCTATATTCTTACAAGTTTCATTTTATTTATGGACGAGTAACAATTCATTGTGTACACGCACTACATTTTTACTATCCATTACTTTGTAGGTGGACATCTAGGATGATTCTTGGTAACTTCAACAGAGCAATCATGAGCATGAATAAGCAAATATCAGCCACAGTAACAGCCTGTTTTACGTATGACCAAGAGTATATAGCTGGGTCATACAGCAGTTCTATTTTTAGCCAAAGCACCCCACACTAGCTTCATAGTGGTTATATCACCTTACAGTCCTGTGAGCAGTGACCAGGGGTCCTTCAGACCAGTACAATAGGAAAGTGCTGCTGTGTAAGCCTGGGAGCTGAGCTTGATCTCCAATACACACTGCATACTAGAAGGGGGAGCCAACTCCACAAAGTTGTCCTCTTGTCTCCAAGCATAAGCTCATGCACACAAATAAATAAATTCTTAAAGGCTTTCTTCCACCCAAACTCTTGCCAGTTTTTGGTATCAATTATTTTCTTAAAGCTAGTCATTCTGATTGGGGTAAGATGGATTACAGTTTTAATTTGCATTTCCCTGATGGTTAAGGATGTTGAACATTTTAAAAACATTTACTGGTGATTAGTATTTCTTCTTTTGAGAGCTCTGTTCTGCTTCCTGGCCTATGGATGTTTGTTTTCTTGTCCAATGTTTGGAATTCCTCCTATGCTCTAGGTACCAGTCTATCAGGTATACAGTTAGCAGGTTTTCCTCCCTTTCTGTGAGCTATGATTTGTTTGGTGGACAGCTCCTCCGCTCTGTGAAGGTTTCTGATCTCACGAGGTGGTATTTGTGGACAGTCAGTGAGCCTGCAGAATAATATGCAAAAAGGCCTTATCTAAGTGTGTATCTTGAGAATTTCCTCGAGTTTTTTCTCTGACAGTTTCAGAACTCCATGTCTTAGGCTCTAGTCTTTGGAGTTTGTTTTTGGTACCGGGTGAGAGGTAAGGGACTTATGTATGTTTTCTACATGTCGATATCCCGTTTCCTGTGCAGCTTTGTTAATGTAGCTGACTTTTCTTCAGCGACTACTTGTGGCATTTTTGTAAAAAAAAACCCAAAAAACCAAAACAAAACAAAACAAAAAAAAAAAACCCCAGCTTGCTCTAGCTACGAGCTCTTTTGTCACACTGGTTTGTTTCTGATTCTGTAGTGTAACATGAAGTCAGGTATACCTTCTTTTTTTTTCGAGACAGTGTTTCCCTGTGTAGCCCTGGCTGTCCTGGAACTCACTCTGTAGACCAGGCTGGCCTAGAACTTAGAGATTCTCCTGCTTCTGCCTCCCAAGTGCTGGGATTAAAGGCGTGTGCCACCACTGCCCAGCTAGGTATACCTTCTATTGGACCTGAAATGATGGAAATGATTTGCTCATCTAAAAAGTCTTAAAGGCAGGGACAATGTCCTCGTCTTCAGTTTGACTCCTGAGCCCACTGGGACCCTGATATCCAGGGGTGCGCATACTACTGTTAAAATACGGACTATAAGTTTCAGGTAATCCATTCATGATGAACGACTCTATAAACTGTAAGAAAATAGGGAGGCCCTGCTTTACACAAGAAAGTGAACTATTAAACCATTACTTTAGAGAGATGACACAGGTACTGCTTAGCATTCAATGCAGGGATTTAAAACAGCAAAGTGGAGTCATGGAAGAAAGTTAGCATTTTGCTACAGTTCATGAGACTTACAAAGTTATGTTATGAATGTGTGAATAAAATGGGTGGGTCATTAATAGTATCACTGAGGACAAAGAAATCATAAAATTAACTTTGTAAGTCTGACAGCCAGGGTTATCTCCAGCAAGTCTAAAATGTCAATCTCTTGTGTTATAAAATGATAATGAAAAATATTAAAAATTATGTCATCTTAGAAATATATCAAATAGTCTCAAAGAAATTTATGAAGACATTGAATGGAAGAAATTAAATGGGAAGAGGAGTGAAGAAGAGGAAAGACAGAGAAGATTTTAAACCTTATGTAACTTTTGTTGTTTCTGTCTGGAACAGGAAACAGATCTTTGATGCTGTCCAAAGAGAAGAGGAACCTGAAGCTAGATGCAGGATCTACGTGAAAACAACAGAAATCAGGGCAGCGGTGCCCTGGGTCCCACAGTCTGTGTGTGAGCACTCTGACAATCTGTACCAAGCGCACTTGAGGTCGCCCTCGCATGCACAGCTCTTCTCGGGCTGCTGAGGAGCTAATGGACACGAGCAGGCCGGGTGACGGAGACAGAGCATGCTGCACGAGTGGCCTAAGCTCTGACAACACACTGCGTGCTCTGGAGGAGTGCTACCGCGCAGCCGGGGTCCACTGACACCACACAATGGGAAATAATTAGTATGGATGAGATTTAAACTGATCTTGGCATTTTGAAAATCTAGGTTGAAAGAAATACAATTAGGCCTGTAAGACATTATACTAGGATCTGTGTTGAGACCAATCATTCCACCACAGTATGATATGGTGAAAAACCAACCTGGCAGAGCTGCCCGTGAAGAAGATGTAGTCTCTAACTGATCATAATTTGAACACGAACAGAAGGTGAGACACTGTGGCTAACAACCCAGCCTCTGAAACAAGGCTCTGTGAACAGCTCTGTGCTTCTGGGGATACAATAGTACTTGGGAAGACTGTGGTTAGTACTATGTTCTACAAAGTAAATAATGACAGGTAAGAAGCACTAACTATAAACAGGATAACAATAAATCTGAAAATTAAGCATGTAAGGAGTGGCTGGACACCTGGGCTATTAAATCCAATGGGAGACAACTGAAAGAACACGGGACCATTATCTTATGGGTCATTCCATAGAACAGGGTATAGGTTATTCCAGACGGAAGATCTGAGTCCACCAGAGTACAGACATTGACTATTTTAAATTCAGAATGAGAAATAACATTTTAACAACTACAGCTGTAGTAGAACAGCTTGTGTGGTTATGAGCTCCATCCACAGAAAACAATTACAATTACACAGAGTCCATCAGTAGCTCTCAAATGCCAACCTATTCTAGAGATAAATAGACAACTCAATTAAGCAGTGGGACCTATTGTTCTGAATCTAATTCAATGTATTTGGGAGGGAGCTTGCTCATTTCAAAATTCCTCACTGAGTTGCAACACACAGCTAGTTTTAAGACACAGTGCTCAGTGCCCTTTCAACTTTATAAATACTTATGCAAAGTAGACTATACCCAAGGCCATTCTAGGAATGATCTCACATGCCGTGCTGAGTTTTAAAGCATGGCTGGTATTGCCAGGAAAGGTCTAATATTACTGGTGAGACACATGTGCACAGAGCTAACAGAAATATGACGTAGCTTGGACGTCTTTTATGACTAACAAAGATAGCTCAAATTCAAGCTAGTTATCAGTTTGAATCTGCTAATAATCAGCTCAACAACTACACTCAGAACAAGTGACAACACAGTCTCATTTATTTAGGAATGTAAGAAGGAATATCTCAGGTCTCCTTTGTCTTAGATCTTTAAGACTGCATGTAGACAGTGAGAGACAGTAACAGCAGGAACGCAGCTATCACACACAGGCAGTCTCAGAAACAGGAAGATCAAGAAGAGGCCTAAGAATTCTGAACAAAGGGTGTGCCTATTTTTAGTAGCTTTTGGTAAAATGGTTTTAGAGATATTATTTAAACATCATGAGTAAAGTCCACCTAGCTAATGACTTTAGAACCTTTAGTAAGCAACTACTTTTACTCCAAAGAATGATATTCTGTGATGTGCTAAAAGGAAAGTAAGGAAAAAGGCACAGAAGAGGTATATCTGCAGATTATTAAAGGGTATTCAGAGTAGCATTACACCTGGAAATAAAAGTAAAGGACCTGTGAGGTCACGTTCTACTCCGAAGAACTCAGAACCCTGTCACAGGTAATGTCATCTACGTCTTAACCTCATGGCCTCCATCTCCTAGGAGAACCCACCTGAGACTTCAGTTTCTCCCTTTTTGCGGCATCTCTCAGTTGCTGAATCCCAGATTTAATCTTGTGGATGTCTTGATTAATGGTGGTTACTTGCTCACAGACAGCATCTCTTTTTTCTTGAACTTTATTGCAATCTCTAAAAGGGAACAGAGAAACCTGACATAACCTCTCTTAAGCATTTAAAAAGACAAAGACTAACCATGATTCCAGAGCCATGTGTCAGTACTTGCTCAAGCTCAGAGCCCTTCCAGATATAAAAGAAAGCAGACAAAAGCCACGAAGCCCCAGATGCTGTGGTACACTGTAGTTGCATCATGGCATGTGGAACTACTTCATTCTAGAGTGATTCTTTTTGTTTCCTTGTTTTGTAGAGCTGAAGATGAAAGCCAGAGCCTGGCACATGCTAGGCAAATGATCACCTACCAAGTTACACTCCAGCCCTCAAATCCTACTCTTTAAACTGAAGGCATAGCTCCAGCACCTCAGTGTGTACATCTAGTCACTGTTAGTGGGAAAGTGCATTAGTACAACTTTTCAGCAGATTTGGCAAGAAATAGACAATCCCCGGCTTCTGTCTTTTCCCTTCATATACATGGAAATACTTGACAGTCCCAATGCCACACTTAAGGACTAAAGGACTGACATCCTAGACATATTTGTGGCATCTATTCTAAAGGCACATTCCAAGGACTGACAAGACTACTGGTGAAATATCTTACATACGTCAGAACTTAGCACTGTGTTCATTTTTACCTGAATAATAGCAAGATTATTTTTCTAATGCACTTCTTTTTCCTAGGTCACTATGTCTCAAGTGCACTGAAATAAATGCCTTTAAAGGTTAATATGAAGCAGTTGAACCTGTCTGTCTCAAAAGACAGCAAACAAGCAGAAAAATACCAACCAACCAATCAATCAATAAACAAACAGATAAAGGAAAAAACTTGTGGTCCTATTTCTACATATAGACAGAATTATACATATCTCAGTCACTAGAGGCAGAATTCCTTTTTGAAAACATAAAGTTAATTGGAAAAAACGAAACAAAATAGAAAAGAATAGTGACTTTTAAGTTGGACAGAATTATTACTCTTCTATGCTGGCATAAGTATGAGACTGTCAGGCAAACATCAAGCTCATGTTTCCCAGAGAAATCCTTTGAATGTAGCTATGCATCCAGACCAGAGCTTGGCTCAAGAGTGCAATCATTTTGTGACAATTGCGGAAAGCAATAAAAACAACTATTGGTAATTATGGAAATAAAAACAACTATTTAGAATGAAGAAAGAAAGAAAGAAAGAAAGAAAGAAAGAAAGAAAGAAAGAAAGAAAGAAAGACACATAGCTAATAAAAGAAAACCTAGTGGTTTTGGGAGCCTGTGAGCTTTTCCTGGGTGGACCCTCAGCCCTTCCCTCCCCCCCCCCCTTCCCCCGGACTCGCTCCCTCGTACTCAATCATGGTCCGCTTGTACTGTTTCACATCCTCCTGCTTCTGGTTGATTTTGAATTGTGTGGTAGCAAGCTTTTCCTTCTTCATCGTCACCAGTCTTATGAGGGAATTTTCTTCAGTCTTCAGTTTCTTTAGTTCTGATGAATCACTTTCAATCTGGTCCTCCAAGTTCAAGCTCTGTGTTTTATGAAGAATATTTAAAGTCAACACAACCAAACAGGATTTATTATTAAAAAAAAAAAAAAAAGAAAGTAAGAAAAGGTTTCCAGGGTGAGCTACAGTAATACACAGTTGTGAAATGGAGTTAAGTCTTCAGGCTCTGAAGGCTCAGTAAAGAAACACAACTGTACCAGGGGAAAGAGCCCGGCCAGCCAGAGGAGCTTTTCCTGCTGGTCTACCAGGACTGACAAATGACAGGCACACAACAGCTCCCCCAACCCCCTTAAGAACAACAAACTTCTATTGTAATGTTAGTGATGCTGGGAGTGGCCTGAATTAAGATCTGAAAATGATTCAAGCATCTGAGACATCGAAATGACAGTGCTACCTCTCATACCCAGAGGAGACTCTGCTCTAAGCTTGACATCTCTATTAACCCTGGTGCAATGTTGGGAACTGAACTTGGACTTTATACCACTGATGACAAGTAATCACATCGGTTAGGATGAGCTAAAATACTAATTAAATTAAAAACAAAATTCTACCATGTGTTATGTTAATCTGTTATTCACTTCATCTGAAGGTTACAGTATGTCTTGACATCCCGATGTTTAGAGGGAGATGCCCAACCCCTCAGAATATACTACTACAGAACAACTTTAGTTTTTCTTTAGGAAGATAGTAAACAAAAGATGAAAGTGGATCCAATGCACTGTAACAGCCCGTCACAAATGACAGAAATACTGCCCAATACAAACCTCCTTTAAGATACTGCTTAGTTTCTCCCTATTATCTGCAAGGTCCTGTGATTTCTTTTGATATAACTGCACCTCTAGCTGACAGGAAGGCAATCGATCCACAGAATCTCTATAGATATCATACTTCTCCATCACTTCTTCCTTTGGGAGGGAAAAAAAGAGCAGTTTAATACTCTCCTATATGAAACCACACGGTCAATTCATTTGCTCTTCAATAATTTCTGCATTTGCTACTGAAAGCTCAAGAACACACAACAACTAAGTTCCTAGGTCAGTAGCAAAGTGCCACTACTGACACATGTCAAACATATCACACATTTACTCTTTATTTAATGTGCATGTGTGCCTTGTTGGCATGTACATCATGTACATACCTGGTGCAGGAGACTAGACAAGGGTATTGGATCCTCTAGACTGGAGTTACAGGCAGCTGTGAGCCACCATGCAAGCTCAGAGGATAGAACCCATCTCCTCTTGAAGAGCAGCCAGTGCTCTCAACTTTTGAGCCCTCTCTCCATTATGCTTTTTAAACTCAAAATATTCTTAACAAAAAACTTCCGCTACTTCACCAGCTGACGACTCACTGTTAGCTTTTCAAAGATTCTTCATGTGGAGGGGAAGGGTTCACTGTGACTGGGTAGAGCTTAGCTTGCAAATGCTCTTCTAGTGCCTATTAACACCCTATGGTTTGAGTCTCAGTATCACCAAAATAACCCAAAAGTTTGTTCTGTTAATTCTCAAACTACTTCTGAATACTACAGGGAAGTCATATTATCTATTATAATATTTGTTTGTTTAATAACTATTATTGACATCTGTTTCTTTAAAAAGATAAACTCCTTTTAAAATTATAGAAGAAATATGCATTCACTACAACCACACCCCAAGGCAGAAATTTTTCCTTCTCCTGATTAGGCTATTGCCTGCCTTATCTTAAGAAACAGTTAAAATTTCTCATCGAAGATCTAATCACATTGCTCAATTTTCATTTGTTTCTCTCTTTTTTAAATGAACTCATAAACATCCTTTGAAGATAATGGATCAAATCCCTTTTCCTTCAGGTTTTCATTTGCTTCCTGTTGCTGTGATGAAGACTATGACCAAAAGCCAAGCTGAGTTGTCTGGAGAGATGGCTCAGTGTTTAAGAACACGAGCTCTTCCAGGACCAGCGTTCAATTCTCAGTATCCACACGGTGATTCAAAACTGTCGGTAACTTCAATCCCAGGGGATCTGATATGCTCTTTGACTTCCAAATATACTAGTCCCACACGGTACAGACATACATGCAGGCAAAACATTCACACATAAAACAAAAACAGATAAAATTAAAAGCAACATAAGAAAGAAAGGGTTTATTTTAGCTTACATCTTACAACTAAACATGATGGGAAGCCAGGACAGAAACTAAAGTCAAGAACTTGGAGGCCGGAACTGAACCAGAGGCCATGGAGCACTGCTTACTTAGGCTGCTTTCTTATAAAAACTCAGGGCCTGCCTGTCCAGGGTGGCATAGCATACAGTGAGTTGGGCTCTCCCATATCCATTATAATCAAGAAATGTCCTATAGACTTGCCTACAGGTCAATCTGACGGAGGCCAAGTCTTCAGTTGAGATTCTCTCTTCCCAGATATGTCTAGAATAATGGCAAGTTAACACAAACCAACCAGAGAACTTCATAGGCACAGCAAATGTGTTTTAGTAGGTCTTTTTTCTCTAAGCTTTGGGTTTTCATGTTAATGTAAAGACATTTTCCCTGTAATCTGAGCCCTCAGGAGGCTGAGACAGGAGACTCAGGAGTTCCAGGTTAGTCTAGGCTACAAAGTCAGACTATGGGGGTAGAGTATGTGTATTCCATTTGATCAAAGATTATATAAATGTTCTAAATCTGTGAAGATTTTAAGTGTCTAATTCACATAAGGATTCTTGTAAGAAACAGCCCAGCTTTTTCTCCTAGAGGAACAGCTAACTTAATAAAATCCTTCTTAACGGAGGGTGGGCTCAGACCCAGATCTCCCCATGCTGAACAAGCATTCTACCGCTTAGGTAAACACTCAGGTCCAACAGAACTGTTTGAAATAAGCCAGCCATTCCCCATACATTCTCCAATCCCTTTCTGTACTCCCGTTTGGTTCTGATGATTTTTTTCCTTATTATTAGTGACAATTTTTATTATTGGGAATTATCTGGATAACGAGGGTAAAATTTCTTTTTACTGATAGGTTTAATACCTTGTTTGAAAAGAGAAGCCAAGCTGTCTGCCCACTTCATCTAATTTTGTCCTGCCCCATCTCAATCCACCCCTCGAAGCAGCCCCTGGCCTGGAACACATCTCTTCTGCCTTGAATGATTAGATACTAAGACAAATTTCCACTGCCCTCTCCAATCTGATTCCTCCAAATATAAACTGAATTCTCTCATTTTGTTATTCCAAACCATCCTCTATTTTTTTAATGCTATTTTTAAAACTGATTTAACTTCTCTATAGCGGTTTTTATATTTGAAACAAAACCCATCAGGAGAAAAAAAGGTTTCTCATATGTGTCCTGTGCTCACCAACACACTTTATGAATTCATAGTTCACGCTGTGTTTTTAGTCTTTGTAAATTTGTGTATTATGTGTAATACCTTTCTCCTCTAACACTTGTGTGGTGAAGTTCCACACAAACATGGCATTTCCTCTAGATCCATCAGCCAAAGCCTCAGAGCCGCAGTGGGATTCTATGGCTGTCCTGCAGCTGCATTCTCCCCCTCTACCCCACACATCAGAGATGAGCATAGAAATTCAAGAGAAAAACCTGTATAGATCCTAAGTAATTCAGAAAGTACCACACAGCAAAGGCAACTGACCCTGGCATTGCGGAGCTTCTGGACAGTGTCTTTCATCTTCTCTTTATAGTTCTTCAGCTTCTCTGGAGAGTCCACAATTTTGCTTTTCAAACTGTCTTGAACTTCTTTCAAAGAAACTACTGACAACTTTAGTTCATTCTGTTGAAAAACATTTTCACCAATCAGGTAAGACAATAAAATTACCATTTCAATAATAGAACATAAGCTCATGTCTGTTCTAACAGGGTAAACTGACTTTTGCCCACCATGGCCAGCTTCATTCCTCAGAGTGACACTTAATGCCCTCAGTGGCATTTCTGGGATCATTATGGTCCTCCTAAGATGCTGCAGCATCCCATCCCTAAGAACATCCACAGATTCTTGGAAACTATCCTCCCATTTCCTCTACGTCCCTTCGTAAGCAACACAAGCGCACGCAACACTGCAATTATATATTTGATGTGCTTTATATTAACCATGGGACCTGCTGGAGTTCTAAAAAGTTACTTTTGTTCTCCTGGTACTCGAGTACCTAAGGTGTGTCTGCAACAGGAGAGAACACGAGAAAGGTAAGATCTGGCAACGTAGGCAGAGAAAAGGAAGCCTTTCTCTATATCTGAAATCTCTCTGTATGTGCTTTTTAGTATTTAATGACAAAATATATTATTGTATGTAAGGCTTGTATAATTCCTCTTAAAAATTTTTAACTTGCTGTAAAACAGCACAGTAGGTAAGGGTGCTTGCTGCCAAGTCTAGTGACCTATCTACACGGTAGAGGAAGAACTCACAAGCTCTCTCCACCACGACATCCTCACTGCCTCTCTGAACACAGCACACCCAGCACCCAGGAGAACAGGAGCATTAAAACTGTGACTAGACAATTTAAAAATTTTAAAATACACATTTAAAAACAGTAAGCCTACAAACAGCCTAATTTACGAAATAAGAATTGCGAAGATGGTCAAAAATCACTAGATTAAAAGAAGTAAAATTAAAAGACTTTCCCCACAGAACAGAGAGAAAAGTTTTAAAAATATAAAACCCAAAAACATTTATTTTTAGAAAGAGTGTAGAAAAATGGACATACTTGTATTTTGTTGCTAAAGATAGAAATTAGAATCCTAAGTGTGAGTCTGGCAACAAGAGCCAACAATAAATGTTCATATATTATACATCCAACTATATTATGCAGCCACTGGTACAACGCAGCTGTTTTGAAGTTCCTGATAACTATCTATACTACAATATTAAAGGTATGTGTGAGGCTGAGACTCATTGAGAATAATATTATTGTGTAAAAATTACACAGATATGCATACAGTAGAAAATGATCCGTTATATGTATACATTATATCTATATCTACATATATAGAGATAGGTAGAAAGGTATGTATCTGATGTATCCAATCATACGGTTAACTTTGGGTCCTTCCGGCTTTCTTCATATATTTCTGAATGTCAATCTTGTTGTTTTCTTTCATAATAGTTTCTGTACTTAAGTTGAAAAAAAGTTAAAACTTGGTTTCCTTTCTGAGGGGAAAGCTGACAGAGAACTGTACATGACTGTCTACACACAGCTAAGACACTGCAGTACACTCAGACATTAAATGCGAGGGAACAGAGAAGATACTTACAAAATGTTTGGTTTTCTCTGAAATATCTGATTTCATTTTGGCATATCCCTCCTGCAGCAGCGTCTAAGAGAAAAGATTTAATGATTCAAAACATCAGAATTAAACCACTAGCTACTTCCTCATACGATAAAAAGAAGAAGAATTTCTTTTCTCAGTAAAAGAGTCTAAGAGTCCCTTTCCTCATCCTTGTGGTCAGTGTCACTAAGTGTAAATAGATTAAGAACACCTTGGATGGTGACAGACACCTGTCAGTGTACCTGTGAGGGGCATTCTGGGGACAACTAGCTCACCAGGGACTCTGACCTAACAGACTGTCAGCCCGCTGATGGACCAAATCTGAACACATTCTTAGGAGGCAGCAGTGCTTCCTGCCTGAGGCAGCGGGCTGGGAGAATGTACACTGCCTTGCACTTTGGGAGCTCGTCTTCCGGCTTCCTGTCCCCACTATACAAGCTGCCCTGCAATGCTTCCCCTCCACGGTGGGCTCAACCCATTGTAACCGTGAGCCAAAGTCAGCCTGCCTGCCCCTTGTTTATGTCAATACATTAGTAACGATAACGAAATAGAAAACATAATACAAAAAACCCTGCATAATCTGTCCTAATACCACTGTAGCATTAATTGAAAATTGAAAAAAAAGTTTTTTCTTAAATAGTAACCAGTAATTCATTAGGTGTATGTGTAGTATCTACTGAGCAGCATAAAAACTCAGACAACTAGGAGTCAGTTGAGACCTGAAAATTATTTCCTATTATTGATACGCACTTTTTAAAATAACAAATTGACAAACTCCAGCTTCGCAGATTCACAGGGAAAATACCATGAGCTAACCCTGAAGCTAGGAACGAAGTATACTAACTAGTGCAGGTTAATGCTGACCAGTACAGTACTTCCTATCAATATGCAAGCTGACCTGATGCCCCTTGAAGGTTTGCTACAGTGCCCAGGGTGCCACAGCCTCACGGTAGAACCAAACTCCAGAAACTACTCTAGAATTCTATGCGTCCAGAATGCACAAAGCACGGGCAACATAACAGGCACAGCAACACATTGTTTCTTCAACAAGTGAAGGCCATGCTTTCCCAGCTGGGTGCACCCGCACAGCGCATGGTAAAGTCCCACGGCTACCGTTTTCTGTCGAAAATCTTGATTCAGCAGGTGCTGCAGCTCCTGAATGTCATCCATAAGCTGTTTGAACTCTTCTTGCTCTTCAACTGGAACAGAACTGAACACAACACAACAGGCCAGAAGAGTTTGTCAATTCCTAATTTTGAAAGGTTTAAGTAACGTCTATGCCTGTGAACACTAAGTGAAGGGTCTGACTCCTTGTTTCTGAATGACATCCTTTTAAAACAACCATTTACTGGATGCCCCTGATCTTCTCTAAAAGAAAACTAATCAGATGAAAGCATTCCATGTTCTAGCACGTAATGAGGGCCGTGCACACACCCCACCCACCGTCACTCCTAGAATGACCACGACTTTCTTCTCTTGTCCAGAGCTAACTTCCCTAACTTGGTCCTGGCTCTCACACCGTACACCTCCCAGTCCGGGTCAGCTACTCTCCGATACCTTCCTTCCCATCAGTACCTACATAGCTAGGTCTCTTTCACACGAAGGTTGAAGTTTTACTTTAGACTAAGATATTAGCCGTTTTGATTCTGCCTTTGTCTGTGATTTTATAAGGTTAACTTTTATCCTTTGTAAGAATTCCTCACATACTGGGATCCCCACGTAAGTTCTGTCACCAGCACCGCAATGCTTCGCATCACACACTGCAGACATTTACTCCCACCTGTCATTTTCTTGTGATTTAGTTTGTGATTGTTTTCTACCATGCTAAATTATAGTGTCTCGCGCTATCAGTCTTTTCGGATACTGTTGCCTACAGAGGCAATTTTACCAGAGACCTTAAACAGACAGACAACCTCAAAGACATCAACAGAGTAGCATCAGACAAACGGAATATGGCTGTTCAAGTTCAGTGCAGACAACCATCAGTCTACGACGGCTCCGCAGAGCAATTATTACTACAGCACAAAGCAGTAGAAACTGTACTGCAAATTTTGATCTTTTTAAAAAGTGGGGATAATACTGGGGCCTAGGTTGTAGCCCCTAGTGGGAGAGTGAACAATCCTTCCTCACAGGACAAAGTTCTGCTGTGACAGCATATTTACTGGGGTATCAACAAGAAAGAACCACTGAGAACCAATGCAGGGCTAGGGAGGGAAACCCTAGTTTTGTCTTTAGAAACAAGGACTGAAATATCCTGCCATTTTTTCCAGGAAGACGTCGAGACTTGGTGAGGACAGTGGCACTGTCATCTATGACTTACAACTTGGTTCACCCATGGCCCTTGGTTCGCCCACGGCCCTTGGTTCGCCCACGGCCCTTGGTTCACCCACGGCCCTTGCTGTGTTCATCTCATCTGTAAAGCTCCCACTTACTTGAGTTTTTCCAGTTTCATCAATGCTTCCTGGTGTGCATTGCTTAACTGCTGCATTTTGTCCATAGAGGATTTCTATGAATACAATTTAATTTCACATTAGCATGTTTTAACAGACAATGCATTAAAAAAATACCAACGCAGACTGCAAAATATTTACTTACCATCAAAAATAGTAAGTTTAGGGCCAGGCCCCTACAACTATTTGCTCTGCAACTTTAAGAGGTTGAGTTTGAATTCCCAGCACCCACATAAAAAGCTGGATACGATGAAGGTGCCTATAACCCCAACACTGTTGAGCGTACACAGGTGAGTCCAGAGAGCCCTCTGGTGAGCAGAGTAGTCAATATAGCAAGCTTCTGTCCCAAAGAGAGACCTTGTATCAGGGCAACAAGGTGAAACAGATGGCAGTATAACTGAGAAGCCATCTGCTGTTCTTGCTCCACCTCTGCCCACACGGGATGCACCCACATGGGCACGTACTACACACAAAGAACCCCTACCCAACACATGAAATAATAACAACAGTAAGTTTAAGTAGTCAAGCAGTTAGGACAAGTGAGTTGAGAATAGCTTTTCTCCTTGTTAAAATGCTAGAGAGTAAACTCAGTCTTATGCATGTTAGGTACAACCTCTGAGCATTATTCCCAAGAATTTCTTTATCTGACACAAATGTTGAGTCCTAGAATGGCTAAACGCTGTGTTAGATGCTGACAAGTCTCAAGAAAAGAGTCTTTTTGGTTCTGATCATACATAGTTCTAACTCTTTGAGCCATCAGTCATGAATGAAAAACTGAGAAACAACTTACTGAAGGACTGAGTGTAGCAGGCAGAGACCATGACACGCGCATCAACACTGTGGCACTCAGGCTTCTCAGAAAGGAAATAGCTGTGTTGTGTCTTTTAAAAGAGAGAGTAAGTAGACAAATAAAAGTGTGTGAGTGGGTGTGTGTGTGTAAGCTTTGAAGTATGTCAGGTTCAGCAGTATAGGCTTAGTCTGATTTGAACTAAGAATAGTTCAGACCATCTGATGTTGCCCTGGTACTTTCTTAGAGTGCCTGTACAGTAATAGCAATGGGCATGAAGCCCCTAATAATAGCTCACAACCTTCACAAAGTCTGTATACTGTACAGTGAAAAAAGGCCTGCTAACGTGATAGCGTTGAACTGCATCTTCACTGTGAAGCTAGGCAGGAAGGATAACAGACAGTCCAACTTTGCCTTGCTTAAAAGGCAAACGAATTTCAAATATCTCAGTTATTTTAAGAACACTATGCATCATGCAACCATCTGGGGGGAAAAAAAGCACTATTTCCTAATGCAAGGAGTAATGTCTCAACTACAACATTAAAATAAAACTTTCATCTTCTCTGTTATCAAGAATATATGAGTCCAAAGTATCATCTCCAAATTAAAGTCTACCTTATATAAATATAAAACCAAATTAAACTGTAACAAATATATAACAATTGGATTTGTGACAAATTTTCAAAGCAAATTAATAATTCATAGATGAGATTGTTGATCTGATGTGTATCTAACAGCTATACTTAAATCTTACATTTTGCAAAAGAAATTCTTCATACTTCTCCAGGCATGTCTCTCTGAAGTGAACGAAGTTGATAATGCCACTTAAAAAACGACTTGTCCGGTTTGCTTCTAAAATAGAAAAGAAAACTATAAACCACTGAAACAAGAGTGTAAACTATCATTTCTTCCCTTAAGACTTTGCTTAAAGCATGTAAAACTGTATGCTTTACCAAAGTGCAGTCTGTCTGTGTGATGTAGACTGTAATTACCTCTGTATTTAGAAAGGAGGGAGGGAAAGAGAGAAGGGGCAGGGAAAGCAAACTAGGTTTGGTTATACAGAAGTGCAAAGACCATGACCATCTAAACTTAAAACAGAAAAAATAAATATAAATAAAGCAAAAACTTTGGACAGTAGAGGACATGCAATTCCTAACAGAAACAGCCTTCAGAGCTGAAGACAGGAGCCCTGTGAAAGCATCTGCCCTAACCAGAGAACACCAACAAAATTCCTGGGTCTTACGGAGTCAAGAAGATGAGATTTTGGAGTTGGAGAGGCCAGAGCAACTAGAATTAGTGAGACTAAGAATTCCCAGGGTACAGGCTATGGAAAGTTAAATCGTTCTGGAAGTCTCCAAGAAACTGGTTCTAATCAGTATGTGGACACAAAGAAACTACTAAGGCTAAGACAATAACCAGAAATATTGAAAGCAATAAACAAAAGCATCCAGTATTAAATAGCATAAAATTTTAACCGAAGAAAAATAAAAAGCAAAACTAGAACAATGTGATTTACAAAAAGAAAACAATATCAAAATACCTTGAAATAGCATCTATGGCAAGTATTGTAAATCAGGTCATGAAAATGCCCCTTCTGCTCAAGAACATCGAGTCTTATGAAGGTAAAAGACAGATCCTTAAAATACCCAAATCCAACTCTAAAAGCTGAAAAAGAAAGTATCTAAATAAAAATTATGCCAGAAAGGATAACAATAGCACACTGGACCTAGAGATGAGAAGGTCATGGAATGGTAGAGAAGCCAGTAGGATGGAGGCCAGTAGGGGGAGCAGGGCAGCCCCTTGTGAGCAGAGGCCAGCAGGGGGAGCAGGGCAGCCCCCTGTGAACAGAGGCCAGCAGGGGGAGCAGGACAGCCACCTGTGAGCAGAGGCCAGCAGGGGGATCAGGGCAGCCACCTGTGAGCAGAGGCCAGCAGGGGGAGCAGGGTAGCCACCTGTGAACAGAGGCCAGCAGGGGGAGCAGGGCAGCCCCCTGTGAGCAGAGGCCAGCAGGGGGAGCAGG